ATCTTTCCTTGAAGTCTAATATGTGTCGATATTTTAATTGGAAAAATAAAACTATTGACAACATAAAACATTTTCGCATATGTTATTTTTTATACATTTTGTTTATAAAACTTAACATTAACTTTACATTAAGGCTGAATTACACGGTTATCTTTGCTTCTTTAGAGTTGACTAATTGACTCATTTCGAGAAAAGGCTACGAATAACGATTATGTTATGCCCTGTTTGGGAAGCAGGCTCGTATATTGAGATTTGTAAAAGCCAATTTCTCTTCAACCCTTTTCAACTTTCATCTTTGCTGGAGTCTTCTTTTTGAATCTTTAATGCACATGATAGCATACAGGCGACCCTCATCCTGATTAAATTCAAAGGGCCGGTGAACCCCGTTTCCTAATTAACCTTAATGATCCCACAGCGTCAAATAGACTGTAGTAATTAATACTGGAACCTATCAGATTTTTTTTTGTAATATACATTTTCAGAATTGACTCATTGCCCTCCTTTCCTACATGGTTCCAGACCGGGGTAACTATGTGGGGTTAAAAAGAATTATTGTAGTGGGCCAAGTTCGTTAGCGGAACGAATGAGTGGGGGCAGGTATTTGAAGTAAATAGCAAAATAAATCAGCTGCCGAGGGGCGGGGTAACATTTATTAATCGGCACCAGAGCACACAACGACACAGAAACATACTCGTAACAAGCTTTCCGTGTGGAACAGTATCGCGGCTGAAGTGATTTAGGGGCCCCACCCAACTAAGTATTAACTATTGTAAAAGTTTTTTTCCCCCTAGGAAATTTGATCGGCGATCTATAATTCAATTTATTACAAAAATTCAGGGGAAAATTTTGCCAAAGTAATTATTATTAGGGAAAAGCATATTTCTAACCCAAATGAGCAAAAATCTCCATTCAAAATCATTATAACCACATTATTAAAATGTTCTCATTATGATCTTCTTTATTTTTATTTTCTATTACGGATAATCTTTGTTTATTATATTTTTTGTGTGGCTAATTTCAAGGTGTTGTACTCACTCCTAAAAAATAGCACATTACGTTTTCTCCAACATTTGAAAATTTTGTTTTTTCCTTATATATCATATAAACAAAAGCATCGAGGGCTAATTGAACAAAACTTGTTCGGGAGTGGCAGAGCCACCAATGTTGTTTTCCATTCATCATAATCATTCACTTCACTTATTTAACGTACCATTTATACCTATTGCAAATTTTTTATATTACATTATGCCCATAATTCAACCATGTTTCGAAGGCTGGTCTGTCACTCTCAACGTTTGAACAATTAATTAATTCATAAAAAATTATTTTCAATTAAAAAAAAGAGGAATACAGAGATAAAAAATATATAGTTAAATGTAATAATATCTTATTATATTTAAATATAATTACATTATATATATAATTATTCAGAAATCGTGAGATGCGGTCTGGTGTGATGTAGGTTTCAGAAAAACATTTTCTTTATCGTGCCAACGTTTCGATCTCATCGAGGGGGACTCTCAACATGACATGCAAGAATGGCACAATTACACAGAAGACAAACTCTTTGATCCCTGAAGATGATCTCAATAAAGATTGAAACGTTGGCACGATAAAGAAAATGTTTTTCTGAAACCTACATCACACCAGTCCGCATCTCACAATTTCACTATATATGTAGTTAAATTATCTGCCTGTATTCCTCATTTTTTAACTGAAAATATTTTATATATATATACATATATATATGTATGTTTATATGAAATGTGACGAATGTGGATAATAGGGGTAATGGCATGTTAATCGTTAATTTTTTCGCAATAACTGAATACGTGGCGATCAGTAGAACCAAAAGTAAAGCTATAATAGTCCTTGAAGGCTTGTCGTTGTTTGTTTTGGTTTTTTTTGTGTTAAATTGTAAGATGCCAGAAGTTAGTAAACAAACATACCTGCTGATAAGGGGCACTATGGCAATGAGGAGGCGGACAGCCTGGCCAAGGAAGGATCAAATACTGAGTTTGTCGGACCACAACCGGTATTACCCCACTCTTTNTAAAATACTCAATCCGTCAATTTCAATAGAAATCGTGAAATTTATTTACAATATTTCCTTCTTAAACTTAGTCTTTCTAGCATATATATATATATAGTAAACAAACAAAATTAACCTACTCTTTCATTCACAATGCTATGTGTACACTCGAAAAGTACTGACAAATGACACTTTTCAGTTCGTGCCGACATAGCTAACTTGTATCCTAACGTCTAACAGCCTACAACTTGTAGGATAGGGGAAGTATCTATTATGAATGAAAGTATAAGGACAGGTCAGAAATTAAAAAAAGATATATTGGTCTGATTTAATTAATGCGTACTTAAGAATAAAAATACGTGTAAACAAAACAAAAAAACAGCTGTTAAATTCATGGCTGCCATGTTGGTTACCTACGCCCTAACGGATAGCAATGTGGCTATATTTTCGACCTAGCATCTAACATTGGCCCAGGCCTGTTAGATCTAGCAATGTTAACTAGCCGATTCTTACAATTCTACGTCATAATTTTTCTCGATCTAACACGACCTAACAGGGTTAACACAAAGATCGGGAATACCCCTAATATTATGGTAGATAATTTTCGAATGAGTGTACCAGTACCAGTTCTTCGACAAAAAAAAATTGTTTCCTAAAAGAACCTGATGTTTTCTAAAGAGCACGATTAAAAATGATTTATTTAAAAAAATACCTATCCCATTTTTTCTTGCATGATTTTAATTTTAGACTAGTGGAGCACGTTGAATAACGCTTTTGTCAGAAGCTTTTCTTATGGATAATAAATATGTATTTTTTTTTGCGCTGCCGAGACGATTACAAAAATGCCCTCGGTATAAATATGAATGGGCTATGGACCTGAGAGGGGTGGGTAAATTATGCATTGTCCGGAAATTATTCCGGGTTTGTGTGTAAAGACAAGCTCTCATTCAACCTCAACAACGACCACGGCAGCGAACCCTTCCGCCCGTGTAAAAACAGCGTGGTGCAAAAGGGGTGTTAAAACCGAAGTTGGCCTCCAACTGTAAACCTTTACCAGTGACTTTAATTCAGACCCCGCTGACACGGAATGTCCTTTTTTCCGACAGTTTTCGGCAATACTTTCACCCACCGGCAATCAGACACCCGTAAAACCCACCTGTAATGTCCATTTAAGCTCAACTTTCTCCAAATTAAGGGACGGCGTACTAATTGTTTTCCGCACCATTACCACAGGCCGATATTGATTTATCCTTTGTAACAATTTAATATGACGGACCAAACATAATTTTACATTATTCCAATTTACAAAAGACGCCGAAAAATAGAATTATCCTTACAATCATTATTTGCCTAAACCTAAACTGTAAATAATTTAAAATAATTTACAAAGCAAGTTACAAATAACTATATTTGAAGAATTAATTAATCATTTAAAAGAGGAAAATAACCGTTATTTTACACATTTTAAAACAATGATTTTCACAATATTTCTATAAGAGTAAAATAACCCATGATATTTGTTAGTTTATTTATTTCTTTTTACTTCCACTTACATAGGTTATGTTGAATATTCAAGTTCTGGTTACCAGGTTCTATTGTTTGGTTGTTGGGGTATTGATTTTTTGCGGGCCGTTTCCGCGAAAATATTTAGTAAACACTAATGTAAAACCCCCATTTCTTGGGGAAATTATGTAGTAAAATCAGGAATAGTGTTAAAATGTTGAGCTCATAAAAAAAATTACTAGTCAAGATTTATTTAAATATTATAAATTATATCGGAATACAACCAAATGTTCATAATATACGTAAATGGGACGTCATAGGATCACGTATGTGAGATAATGTAATAATGAGTATTTGTATATTAATTTATAATTAATGCTTTGTTAGCCCTGAAGAGAGGGACTGTGGAGCAGACCGAAATGCATAAGCAAAAACTATAAATAAAGCACATGGAGGATCTTGCTGAATGTATATTTTTTATGAGTTCAACGTTTTAACACCACTTCGGTTATAAAGAGAAAAGAAAAAGCGAAGAAAATGGACGAAGAACTTCTATCATAGGATGGGAGAACTTGGTATGACCGGTCACTTAACTTGTTCGCCATGTACCGTGGTTGAGATAGAAAGTGTTCAATGCTGTGTAGGTTTTTAATTTTTTTAATTTTATAAACTTTATTCAAAAATAACATATTACGAAGCAATTTCTCAGTTTAAGATTAATTTGATTAACAACGGATTAATTTAACGATTTTCAACTTTTTTGTTCAAAATCTAAGAAATCAGTTACAATTAGTACAAAGGACTATACAAAAGATAAAATCATTTTTTTGTTTATTACATAACTATTTTTTTTAAACATATTTCGTTTTGGCATGACAGAATGCTACAGAAGTTTATAAATTATATATCCTTTAACATAAAAATAACAATTCGTCTCAAAATTAGATCATCGTCAACGATTTTTAAGCCGTTATTAGCTAATATAAAATTATATTAACCTTAAGACAGATTGTCTTAATGAATGCAGTAATATTTTATATTTTTATTTTTAAAGGTTGATGTTTTTTAGAACCAAGCTGTTTTGCCATTTACCTGCTAATTTACGTTATTATTTGATAATACAGAATTTTTAAACTTTTTAAGAATTTTTCGAATGAATTTGACATTTATAAATTAAAGTAGTTTACCTATTAGAATAAAGTAGTTTTGGCAAGCCATTTATTCGAGCGGTGACTTGCAATCCCCAAGCTCCTCCTTAAGGAAGAGTGGTGAAAACGACAACCATTGATCATAAATCTCGCAGCTTTTACATTTACACAAAAATGTAAGGATATCACTTCATATCTTATATATATATTTTTGGTGAGGTATCACTACTCAAAAGCTCCAAATTTTTACTGTTAATATTATTTAATAACTAGAATATTATTTACGTAACGTTTAACACAATATTTTCTTTTTTCAGGAACGGTAACGCCACTCGTACGCTGAAAAATAATGATCAGGTAGGTTGTTCTAATTAACGTTTTAGATAAATAACACGATATATTTCGTTTATTTATATTGTGTATTAATAAATTCAGAGAAATTTCATTATAAATGCTTCAAAAAACTTAATCAGTTGAATATAGAGAGATTAATGAACAATTGTTTAACAAAATATAATCGTAATGGTTATTTTCGCACATACAATATAACAGTTACCAATAAAAACAGATCAACAAAGGTTGAATCTAATTAATTTCCCTATCACTAATTTTCCCACCAATAATACATTTATAAACGTTTTACCGCAACGTACATTTACTTATCGCTAAAATTATTTTTATCTGTTCAAAATGTGTGCAAAAACGCAAAGATGACAGTTTACAAAACTAATTTTTAGCTAAGGTTGATTTTATAATGGACCATTTTGTTTTACAGGCTAAACGCTTTTTGATAATCAACAAACCCCAATTCGTACTTGGTTTATATTAAAAGACGGTAGTAATATAATGAGCCCATTCCCAGCACGGTAAAATACAGGGTGAATTGCTACTCGTGCTACAAACTTCTCCAGTAGATTCTTCACCCTAAAATGAACAAAAAAGTTCATATTGTCCATGGTCCGATTCTCAACCATTTCAGAGTAATTTCGCTTTTTATCGATTTTGAAAGATATCACGTCCTGGCGTCGGAAAATCGTGATATCTTTTAATCTAAACATTTCTCTGAAAATCTAATAGCACCGTTGAAATTCCCGTTAATTTTTCAATAAGAAGATGACGGTGGCAAAATGTTTGGGCTAATTTTTTGTGTTTTATTTCAGCCAGAACTACAAAAAGAGTGGAAAATTGTGTAAATCGGAAAGTGTATAAAGTAATCCAGAGTTTCTAATTTTAGTCTCAGAAGGCAGCAAATTTGAGGAAAACTACCTGATTTAATAACGCTTCCAACGCACTCGTCATTTTCTTATTTAGTGGTTGTGAGACCAAGATGTTGATGACAAAAAGAGAAAAAATGGTGGTTCAAGGATTGCTAATGTTTGAGAGTGACTTGCTACTCGTGCTACAAACTTCACCAGTAGATTCTTGACCCTAAAATGAACAAAAAAGTTCATATTGACCATGGTCCGATTCTCAACCATTTCAGAGTAATTTCGCTTTTTATCGATTTTGAAAGATATCACGTCCTGGCGTCGGAAAATCGTGATATCTTTTAATCTAAACATTTCTCTTAAAATCTATAAGCACCGTTGAAATCCCCGTTAATTTTTCAATAAGAAGATGAAGGTGGCAAAACGTTTGGGTCTTTCTTCCTTGACCTTCTAGCTGTTTGTAAACTTCTTAAGCATTACATACTAAATGGGCATTAAATTAAATTAAAAAATTTCAATGGAATTATGATTTTGATTCTCTCTAAAAATTAACGGGGATTTCAACGGTGCTTATAGATTTTAAGAGAAATGTTTAGATTAAAAGATATCACGATTTTCCGACGCCAGGACGTGATATCTTTCAAAATCGATAAAAAGCGAAATTACTCTGAAATGGTTGAGAATCGGACCATGGACAATATGAACTTTTTTGTTCATTTTAGGGTGAAGAATCTACTGGAGAAGTTTGTAGCACGAGTAGCAATTCACCCTGTATATTCTGAAAGAAATTTATTAATTCATTTTGTCATTTGTGCAATATCTTCATAACTAAGCATATACTAATTTCTACTCACACGATAAAAGAAAACAAAAAATCCAAGGGAAAGATAAATCTAAATGTTTTTCCGTCATTTAATTCTCACCATCCTAATCGTAGTTATGAATTGTTTATATTGGTGTATTTATTGTTATTGACATTTATACAGTTAAACCTCCGATAAGGGACTTCTCTGTTTAGAGGACACATCCGACAGACAGTTACTAAGCATGCTTTTAACACCTCTACTTCGTGGACACTCTAAATAATTGGACAAGGATAATGTCGTTTTGTCCTAGTACAGAAAATTTTAAGTAATGGGCTGGCCAGATTAGTTTTTATAATTCTTTGAGAGTTAAAATGACCATTAATTATGTTGAAAATTATTGATTCATTAAATTGGAATCAAGTTTCCGTGAATTTTCTGTTCTCTACAAGCAACGTTTTTTTCCCGACATTGTTTTCATTTCACGATATCAGGGAAGTTTACGTTTTTTAATGTAACTATGGTTCCGACCCTCCAAAGTTAGGTTTTATATAAATAGTAAAGAAATGCTATTTCATAACTACAATAATCGGGAGACCTAGTGTACGAACATTTGTTTCTAAATGAAATCTTAGCAAAACGCCAGGAAGGGAAATTTAAAAAAATCGTGAAGTCATTAAAATTACAGTTAAATCTACACTTGACATGTAGTAGATAAAAAATGATGCTTCAACTCCCACCTGGATTTTCATTGATTCGGATTTCAAGGATAAATGGGGATCAACTAGTAAGTTTTCCAAGCATGTTGTAGTAAAGTATGTGTACTAAAATCCACGTATATATATATATATATCCAGGTATATTTATAGATTACTAGCGTAGTCTGATGCTGAGCAATTAATGCTTAAAAATCCGGACCACAAAGAAAAACAATTTTTCAGTAGAACCATAATTTTAAGCTATTCGATTGATATACTTACTCTATCATAACCATTTTTTTCACACGTAGTATATGAACATATACATAAACAAGACAATCTATCTATGACTTAAAAGAGACTTCTGACAAGATATCATATGACTTAAAATTTCTCTTTAGAAGGGATATCCCAAAAGAGGACGAAAGTGGTGGTAATATGACAATAACAGTGACCTTAGCAAGTCGTTTCACGGACTTTATCGTTGGCCAAGAATAATAGTTCTGAAAGAATTATTAAAATCATAGTCCAATAACGTTCTTCTTAGTTAACAGAAACTTTGAAAATCCTATTCACACCCCTACAAAATTGTTTTTTAAAGTGTTTTTATGTTAAAATTTTTGAAGTTTTTTCTTCGTATTTACTTTATCTCTTTGCTATTGAATGTTTCCTGATGTAAGTGTGCTGATTGATCAAAAATCGGAATGCAAAAATCATTATTTCAAAACAAACATTAGTTACAAAACAGACTTTGAATGAAAACATTTATGTCAAAGAGGATTGGGACGGATTGGTATGCTGTGTGCGGTATCTCTGTGAATACTTCAAGCATTTGAAGGGACATCGTACTAGAACTCGCTTTTGTAATAACTTGTTGAAGAGGGCGTGTAGATTGAGCTGTCACCCCCTTGTCTTTTTCCCTTCGCCTATGTTTCAGGACGGAGTTTTCAAAGCTCTGACCGGGGTACGAATACGGACATATGCAAACGGATAGCAGAAGTAGAGGATTTTTTTCTTCTTAACAATTTTATTATATTTTTGTAAGAAACGGAAACATTTGTGGAAAAAATATATATATTAATTTTGGAGGTAATGGTTCCTTAGTAAACAAAAAAATATACCAAACAAACCCAAAAAGTTTCTGTTGCCATAACAGGAACGTTCAGAAGAGGCGGATTGTGTGTTTAGTGCCTGCTGCCTTTTCCACCCACTTTAAAAAAAAACTTTCTTAACAAACTAAAGGGGTTCATTAGAGCATCTGATTAGGATGATTAACCTTCCAACACTTCATCAACTTTAAATTAGCGCAAATTTTACTTTACAACTAACGAAGAATTTAATAAATTAAAAAGTAAAACTTTCAAATTCTTACATTTGAAGAACACCAGTTGAAATAGTTTAGATCGACTTGTATTCCTTTAACATTTCACTCTCGTGTTATAACACAGCTTTTATAAACTTAAAAATAATATATAAATCCTTTAATATATAAAGGAGAGTTATTAATTATTGTATTGTGAAATTTATTATTATATGAAATTTGAAAATGGTATTATACAGGGTGTACTTTTTAGATGGCCGGGCTGAATTCTCTTGAAACAGTGACGCTATTTAAACAAAAGAAAAGAAAAAGTGTTTAATATTTTTTAGTCTAGTTTCAAATATTTACTTTTTTGGATAAAATTATACAGGGTACCCCAGGCCCAGTTCAACTTCAAAATTTCAAATATGGCTCCTTTCATCTTGTCACATATTTTTAAAATATTGGTTACGCTTAAAGCAATGGCGCAATCGGATTTTAAATTGGTCAAAATGAGTTATGGCAAAAAATTTGAAAAAACGGTCATTTGCTATTTATTAATCACATTTCATATTCGAACTTCCTGCCTTGCGTAAAGATGCAAGTATTTGCTCTTTTTAACCACTTTTCTCCGGTGCTCAGAGGGATAGAGCCATGGGAGATGGATTGACAAGTATTTTCCATTCTTAGCCGCAATTGCAACTAAGGCTGCTTGGTTATGATTGGCGTAGACACTCTTTTTTAAATGGCACCTCAGAAACTAGTCAAGTGGAGTTAAATCAGGTGACCGAGGATGCCAACAGATCCTTCCTATCCACCTATAATGGAAGTGACTATTCGAATAACGTCTCACCTGCAAAGAATTGCGTGCAATGGCATCCATCAAACTGGAGAATCATTCTTTGTCATTGTTGCAGAAGAACATCATCTAATAGTGTTGGTATAAGCTCCCTCAAATAATTGAGGAACTGGGCAACATTTAAATTATTTTCGTAAATTTATTTCCGAGAAGTCCACACCAAACATTGATACTGTGAACCACACAAGAGTAGAAATTCTCGAATTTTCCTCTGCCCACGTTCAAAAATTTCATCGGTTTAGTACGCCATTAGAGGTGTACTTGGATTCATAAGTCCGGAGGATGTATGAAAGAACGTTTTCTTCACCCTCCCAAATCGACATTTGTGCAAGGAACGTTAGACGCCTGTCATAATCAGGGTCCCGAAGTCAGTGGACAAGATGAGAGCGATACGGCTTAAAATTGTAAGTCAGGCATACATCTCTATTTTTTTTAAACCTAAAACCTTTCCAACATGTGAGAGGAATTCGGATTTTCGCGTGCATACAG